GCAGTTGTATGAAATTACCCAAGGAAAAAGTGTTGATGAATTTGAACAAGACATTGCAGATCTAAAAGTTGGTTGATTTCTTTTGACGAAAGGTTTTGGGAGCAAAGATCAATCTGGTCTTGATTTTATCCATTGCTCCTCATTTCTTGTATTTAGGAAAAGAAAACACGACTGGAAACCCAAATTATTGAAAGCGAAACCGAGATGGAAGTGCTCAAAGGGAAAATCGATTCGGTTTCGCAAGAAAACGAAGATCTCAAGACGAAGGTAAACAATTCGTATTGCATAGTGTTGTTATTTATTTCTATATCGGTCTGCTGATTTTTTTGAGGTTGGTCAGATAAGACCATTCGAAGACGAGTTCCGTCGGCTTCGAGATGAGGTTGAGGAATTACGGGTGAAAGAGGCAGATCACTCAAAGTTGCAGCAAGCTTATGAACAGCTCAAGAATAAGGCCAAAGATAGCAGTAACGATAGAGCAGAGGTATGTTTCTTCACTATAATTTTTTATTCAACTATATCAATCGATCAATAAAATGCCGTTCTTCTACTTATCCTCTACTTTGTTCATTAGTTGTCTTTTTGCCAAAAAATAAATAAATAAATAAATAGGTCTTATTATCGCATCATTTCTTAAGGAAGATTTTCATGCTGCTATAATCTTGACGGTGTTGCACTTTACGTTGTCGATAAACTTAGATGTTTTGGCGTGATTCGTAGAGCCAAGCAATATTGGTAGAATTTCTGCATTTCTTCATTTTGTTCAAATAACTTTTTCTTTTCGCTGTTCATCTCGAAGCACGGGAGTTCCGTGTTCGAAAAGCGAAACAAGGTTATTTTCTTGATCTTCTTCCCTAATGCGCTTTTTTGAAAAACTCCTTATATGATTAGTAACCAGTAACAGCTTCAGTTTGCACGTCGAACTGTTCACTAATATGATTGTACGCATTATTGTTATGAATCGAAACTAAATTGTGCATTTACCATATTTCATGTCATTTCCAGCTTCTGGTTCTGCGCGAGAAGGTAAAGTCCTATGTTGAACATGGGATGCTATTAGAGGATGAGCAACGCAAGAATAAGGTATCTAGTTTTTTTTTCAACAGACATACACTACTTGGAATTTTTCTGGCTGTATCTTCTAGACTCTACGTACGCAAATGGGCTCTTACAAAGCGCTATCGGAAGAGAAATCTCGAGAAAATGATAAACTTATTATCAAAGTTGACAAGGTGATTTGTTCTAGGAGTCTATTAAAGATTTCCCTTCAGGACGGAATCACTAATGATATTTTTAGTTGGAGCACGAGCTCGCAACTGCCAAAGATCGTCTAGCAGCCGCGGAAACCCGAGTCGAAGGTCTTGTGCAGGAGAAGATCATTCTGGAAAACAAGATCGCTCATGAGCGTGAGTATCCTCGTATTATGATTGCAATTCCGGTGTATGCCATGCTGAAAATTATCCTATCCCATATATTCCGGTTAATGCTTAAAGTCTAGCAAGATTTTAGACTTTTTTCTTGCACTTGCAGTTACTTATAAATGTTTTTGTGCAAAAAGGTGCTTAGCACTTCTTCATTTATTTGCCAAAAATAAGTCCAGCTTATCGTCTTACATCTAAGATGTGTAGAGGGATGATTTAAAAATATGAATCTGCAACCACTTTGGTAGAGGTCTCTCCGCTGCTATCACTGCCCTCATGTAAGCCAAATCCTTTCCGTTTCTCACCTAACATGAAAGTTCGTTTTACTTGAGTAAAACTAGTAGTTATAAAGCTATAACCATGGGCGACCAATGCCAAAATAATTGCAATCGACTGTGGAAAAGCTATTGATTGTATTA